AACCCTATTTCTGCGGATATCCCAACGACAAACGATTCGCTTATAGTACACAATATACCTTCATCTACAGCTAACAGCAATAATACTAAAACAACCAATCAAGCAAAAAGGCAAATTTCAACCTCTCCTGAAATCTCAGAAACTAAAAACCTAAACGAAAATTTTATAACTCCAAAAAAATCCGCACCAAAAAAGAAGAAAAAGGCTTTAGATGTCGAAGCCACATTAAAACCAATTGAGAACATTTTAATGACAGCATCTCCTTCATATACGCTAAACTTCTCTGAATTATGCGACTTCGTTATAAACGCAATGGGATCAAAATTTCCTGAAGTCACAGCTAAAAACTATACAGAAGATTTTGACGGCTTATACACCTTGTTAAAAATGGTTCACTCAAAATTAAATGATAGACGCATGAAAAATAATATCACAAGAATTATAAAGAAAATAAATCCAACATATGAATCTTCTCTTACTGAAGAAAGCGACTACGATTTATCTCAATAGTCCAATTAAATTCATTCTTCAATGGAACTTGAATGGCTATTATAGCCACATTGAAAACATTAAAATGCTAATCAATGAACTGTCACCACTAATAATATGTTTACAAGAAACTCGTCTTTCCAACAACCAAGCAAAACTAAAAAATTATATGGCCTATACAAAAAATCGAGCAGTACAGCAAATATCCAGTGGTGGAGTCGGAATTTTTGTACATTCAACTATCCAATCCAAAGAAATTCCGTTAAATACGAATCTGGAAGCAGTAGCAGTTTCGGTAATACATCATTTTAAAATCAACATATGCAACGTATATTTACCGCATCCTGACGAAACTACTCTATTAGAACTTCAAAATGTAATTAAACAAATTCCATCTCCAAAATTAATTTTGGGTGACACAAACTGTCACAACATCGCATGGGGATCCAAAAAAACGGATAAAAATGGACGAATATTATTAAAAGCAATTAACAACATAAAACTAGTTTTGCTAAACACAGGAACACCTACTAGATTCAATGCACATAATGGCACATTTTCCTCCATAGACATATCTATCAGTGATTCAACTTTAGCTCCATTTTTACAGTGGAATACATTGGACCACCTATACGACAGTGATCATTTTCCAATAATAATTACTCATGACAAAGATGAAAAAACCTGCACAACACCATATGAAACGTGGAAATTAAAGTCAGCTGATTGGGAAAAATACTCGAACTTAGTAAGCATACGTATACCAAATCTCGTTATAACAGATAATATAGACACTACTCTATCATCTTTTAACGGTATAATTTTAAAAGCAGCCAGAGATTCTATAGGAAAAACCAAAAATATTACAAAAGCTCCTCTTCCTTGGTGGAACACTGAAATCGCATCCGCTTTAAAGCAAACAAAACATGCTTTTAATATATACAAGAAGTATAACACACCTAATAACCTAAACAATTTTAGATCTTTAAGGGCCAGATCTAGATTTTTAATAAAGAAAGCAAAAAAAGAGAGCTGGACCAATTACGTGTCGTCAATTGACTCATCTACGCCCATAAGGGATATATGGCAAAAAATAAGGAAAATAAAAGGTTCAAAAACATTTAACCATATTGACACAATAACTACAAACGATCTAATAACTTCAGACAAACATGAAATCTCAGAAATTTTAGTAGAACACTATCAGTTGTATTCAAGCAATCAACAGTACCACCCAAATTTCTTAGAACATAAAGAAAGAACAGAAATATCAAAAATTAACATAGAAGATACTGCTAGTCCACTAAACACTTCCATAACACTTGATGAGTTAAATAAAAGTCTTAATAACCTCAAAAATACCTCACCTGGACCTGATGACATACCACCAATGTTCATCGAAAAACTACCTATTAGCGCGAAGGTTACTTTAGTAGAGATCTTCAACAAAATTTATTCGACCCATAAATTTCCATCTCTCTGGCACGAAGCAATTATAATACCATTTTTAAAAGACAATAAACCAAAAAACTTATCTTCTTCGTATCGACCAATATCTCTTACCTGTAGCATCTGCAAAATAATGGAAAAGATTCTAAGCAAAAGATTAAAATGGTACTTAGAAAAGAAAAATCTCCTTACATCGATCCAAAGTGGATACCGATTAGAACGGTCTACAATAGATAATATTATAGCAGTAGAATCTGAAATACACGAAGCTTTTATACATAAACAAAAATTAATAGCAATTTTCTTTGACATCACAAAAGCATTTGACACCACGTGGACATATCACATCTTAAAAACAATGAAAAGTTGGAAAATAGATGGCAAATTCTTAGCCTTCACCAAAAACTTCCTGGAGAACAGAGGTATAAAAGTTAAAACAAACGGAGTCATGTCAACTAAGAAATCACTGGAAAATGGTATCACTCAAGGATCTGTATTAAGCCCCCTGCTGTTTTTAATAGCAATCAACAACGTATCTAACCATTTTATGCTTCCAGTAAAAGCAAACCTTTACGCCGATGATCTTGTAATATATATGAGAAGTAAAAACCTAAAATCAGCTGCATCAATATTACAAAATACACTAAATAAATTAGAAGGGTGGTCGTTGGATATAGGCTTGAGATTTTCAACCGAAAAAACTAAAGTAATAATATTTGACAAAAGGAAAACACAACACCACTTAAATTTAAAACTAAACGGAAATACTCATAACAATCAACGAAATCAAATTTTTGGGAATGCCATTCGACTGTCAACTCAAATGGACATCCCACATAAATGAACTAATTAAATCATGCCAACAGTGAATAAATCTTCTAAAAGTTCTTTCCAATCACAAATGGGGCGCAGACACAACTATTCTTCTACGATTATATCAAGCTCTAATTAGAAGCAAACTAGATTACGGATGTATATGCTACGAAACTGCTACTAAAAGTCAATTGAACAAACTGGACATCATCCAATCCACAGCATTACGTATAGTTTTCGGAGCTTTCAGAACCACGCCAATTAGCAGCCTTCAAGTCCTAGCAGGAGAACCGCCATTAGCTCTCAGAAGACAATATTTTTCGATGTGTTGTGCTACTAAATATCTCAGTGCAAATGCAAACCCGTTTATAACTAGCCTAATAAGAAGCAACCCTCCAAATCTGTACTCAAATCATTGCCCTAGAAACTTACCTTTCAATGAACGAATAAATCGATTTGAATTCAATATACATCAATTGAGAGCCACTTCTACAAATAGATGCCAGTATCCTCCCTGGAAAGTCCAAATACCAAAAGTAGATTTTACCTTACTTACCTATCCCAAACAATCACACAACCCTTCTGAAATAAAACAACAATTCCAGTCTACCATCTCCAGATACCCTGATTTCAAACTAATTTTTACTGATGCCTCTAAAAGCAGTAATGGTGTAGCTGCTGCAGCTATTTTTGAAGACAACATCTCTGTCACCCGTCTAGCCAAGGAGTGTAGCATATACACTGGAGAACTGCAAGCAATCTTCAATGCACTCAACCAATGTACCAGCAATGATATAAACTTTCTTATCATATCAGATTCTTTGAGTGCCTTAAATGGTGTCAAGCAGATGTATCCCACTCATGCCAATTTAGTACTCATAAAAGACATGCTATACATTGCCCAAACACGTGGTAAAAACATAACATTTTTATGGGTACCATCCCATGTTGGAATAAAGGGTAATGAAGCAGCTGATAAAGCAGCAAGAGAAACTATCAATAACACGACAATTCCTATGATGCAAAACTTACCGATCTCAGACCAAAAAACATTAATAAAAACTTATATTAACAAAACCTGGCAAGTAAAATGGAACCAAACAGAAGCAAAATTAAAAATTATCAAACCAGATGTTACTTCTGCTTTACTACCGCTCCCAGCTCAAAGACATAACCAAGTAATTATTAACAGACTGCGGCTAGGCCATACAAAATTTACACATGGATACATCATCTCCAAGGACCCTCAGCCGATTTGCCACACCTGTCAAATACCATTTTCAGTGCAACATATTATGATAGACTGTCCAGTGTACTTAACAGCAAGATCGACAGCAAAAATAAACCACAATTTAAAAGAAACTCTAGAAGAAGACATCAATAATACAATAATTTTTATCAAAAATTGTAAACTCTATAACAAACTGTAACATAACATAAAATGTTTATTTTCCAAAACTGCTATGTAAATTTTAATAACATATTAATGTAACTTTTCTAAAATAAAGATATACCACCCCGCTAATAACCCTAGGGGTTGAGGCGGTAAAAAAAAAATCTAATTTCTATAATGAATCTCATATTAGAACCAGAAATGCAACATAACTTTTTATGTATGGAAGAGAAGGTTTAGGTACTATTTCATCCAGTGGAAGTGGCTGTAAGGTTGAAAAGATTCAACTGTTCTAATCTACAGCAACATTCTATGAGTATAACCTAGGAAAACCTGAGAAAAATCATTAAATATGTATTAGTTTTTTATTTGTTATTAAATTTGTCTTTACATAATTTAATTTATTCCTGCCACCATAAATTGCATGATCAAAAGAGATATTAAAACATTATCGTGATTTCTTTGACAATCAATTAAATATTGGTGTGTTTCAAAATAAATTTTAAATTTATCTTACATATAAGTATCCACAACATAATGTGACGTGAAAAGACGGGTACATTTTATTTTATAAATAAATGTCTATCCTTCAGATAACTATCTGTCACATAGGACAATATTTATCTGGAAGTGAAAAGACCGGCCCTTTCATATAAGAAGTTTATTATGTAATTTTTAATTTAAGAATTTAATATTTAAAATTTAATTTTTAATTCTTTTGAAAGTTTTGTTGATTTTAAAAAATTGGCTGCGAATTTGGTGATCAGTAAAAAATATAAAACTCGAGCTTTCCCAAAAACTAAATTTTATTTCTAGTACGTTTGAAAGTAAAGGATAAAATATATAAATAGCTTACCTAGTTTTGATACATTTATTTCTGGCGTATACCGAGTTTCCGATATTGTATAATACTGACGTATTTGTAGCGATACTGTTAAAACCTAAGGCGAATATATCTAGGATAAAGTCTTCTATAATAACCTTAACTTCATCAAAACTTGTTCCGCCCCAATTCTTAAAGAAAAATAAAAAATTTAAATCTATATAAAAGTATAATTTCAAAATAAAAACTTATATATTTAATAAATATTTGGCAAAAACTCGACAAAAATGGAACTTATTTCCGTTTATTTTGTAGTGGGCCAGTTAACAAAATCGTTATAAAATGGTTGGGGGTTTTCAGGAATATATTTTAACACCCTTTTAATATGATTTATTTTGGTTTCTTTGTGTTTTGTTTGTGTTTTGAAAAGTGTTAACATTAAAAGGGTGTTAATATAGGGGGAAATACTGAGATGACCAGGTTTAAAGGCATCATGCTTAAACTGTGAAACTGAAAAAATTTGTTGTTGATTTTTTGGTATGAATTTTTTGCTTGTCGCTAGAAAAACCAATTCTTAAAATCCAAAATGTCAGAATTTTTTACTTCTATTACAGTACATTTTCTAATCACACTTAACGTAATGATCAATTTAGTCAACTCATATACACAAAAATCCTGTTGAAGCGCTTCAAAAGTTTTTTGACAGTGCCAAAATTCCTATTGAAAGTCAAAAACGTGTGCCCTCTAATGGGGCTCAACTTTTTTAAATATCATTTCAACTAATGTCATACACATTCTGATTACAGTATTGTTTTTATTTTGCCCAGGGCAATTGTCACAAAATAAAAGCAGTTCTTCAATATTATCTGGAACATAGTTTTTTATATAATGCAGCAAGAAAGAACACACCTTGTTTTGACCCTTACTGGGTTTTACAGATGTAAATATTAAACACATTTACAGTTAATTGTGTAAGGTAAAACAAATATTGTACGGGAAGTTCGGGTAGATGGAGGTTCTGCATATAGTCAAACTTTCATTAGTTTTGCTACAAGTTTCAGTTTCAGCTTCCTTGAGATACTTATAAAATTTTTTGGCTCTACGTTTATGGATGATTAGCTCCAGCAGTCCGTTTATCGGCATCACCAAGTGAAGGACTAATCTTAACTCCAAGTTCCTCACACTGACAACATTTATCTACTGTTGCCTTAAAATATTGTTTTCTTCAGGAATTGCATGAACCTTCATATTGTGGCCCCTTTTGTCCCATGGTGTTTGGTTGTTTGATAACAAATTTTTTATTCATTCTACTCGTTTTGGAAACACCATTTAAGCTAAGTAATGCTTTTTGATAAACATGTCCCCTCATGTTATCAACAAGAACAAAAGAAGTAGGTACATGATTTTTTCATTATTTCAATTTCAGTTTTCTTTTTTCTCCTTCTACCAATACTATGTTTTTCTAGAAGTCCTTGTAGATATAATTCCTGTTCATCTTTTGTATTTAATTTGTAAAACATTTAGTGGAACATTTTAAGGGACATCTAAAAAAACATATGATGCAGACAGGAAGGTACAGGAAGGTAAATTAATATAAAAAAAATGAACCTACTTGCATGCTAATCCAATTTTCTTATTCAGGACTGTATTTTGTTTCTAATTAACATATGAAATGCTTTATTCTGCTCTGCTTTATAACATTTCTCTTATATTCGTTTGTCATGTCTCACACAAGTTTAAGTTCAAGTCTTCCTGTGTTTAAGTTTGTTCACTATTCACATGTTTTTCCATTTTTATGTTTTGCAAACAACAACAGAACTTATCAGGATAAAGAATGTATACACAATGTAAATGACAGCCTCGATTACTCAGCACAGTAAGAACCGTTAAACCATGTGATGTTTACTTTGTATGTTGTTGGAAGGGGGCTAGCGATATCGCTTGCCTCGTTTTTACATTAAATACAGTTTCGAAGTATAAATTATATCCATCCAATGCATACAGCTTGCTTCTTTTGAATACCAACTGATGCATATATATATATATATATATATATATATATATATATATATATATATATATATATATATATATATATATAAGAGAGAGAAGGATTTTTACTACAACTCAAAAGAGTAGATAATGGTTATTGCATTACAACAATAAACGATTCAATTATAGGTACACCAAAGTTAAACTATCAATATTTATATATAAAAAGTGAAAAAACAACTTTTTTACAACACAAAACCCTTCTGCAAAATTACAGTTACCTTTCATTTATAATCATTTAGAATTACTTTTAAACTATTGCTCCTGGATAAAATATCTGGATAAAAATCTCTTCTTATTTGAAAAACTGATAAGTTTTAGACAATCTTGAAAGAAATGGAAAGTTATAAATTACTTATTGGATGATTAGATAAAAAGTAGTCATTTTTTAATTGCCAGCTACCTAATTTGTTTATAATAATCAAATGAAGCAATTATTTAAAATGCAATAAGCTTCAGCTTCAGTAATAATGGAGTGATAAGATAAAGACTTAAAATTTTATTATACGGTAGAAGATCAATTAGAATAGAATAAAAATTTAGACTTTTTTTGGAAAAATATATTTTTTTAACTCAATTTACTATTTTAACTTTTAATTTAACTCAATTTACTATTTTTTGTTGAGAATACAATTTTGTGCTGACAGCTAGTCATTGTAGAAATAATGTGAATGAACATGGAGGAACAGCTATATATCTTAGTAAAGACTTGGCCAGGAAAGAAAGGATATACAAGAGTTATCAGTAGATAGGGTAATAGAGTGTGCTGTATGCGAAGCTAATATAGGTAATAAAAAACTCATTATAGCATCAGTTTACAGACCATCAGGTAGCGATCTGGCAGTTTTTAAAAACAAATTTGATATTATACTGGGAAGAATTATGATAGAAAACACAATTATAATTATAGGGGGAGATTTCAATATCGATCTTAAGAATAACACATTAGATAAAGTAAAATTTTGTATGTTAATTAACTCATATAATATTTGTCATGTAATTGAAGACTACACTAGAGTAACTGCCACATCTAAAACTTGTATAGATAACATACTAACAAATATGCAATCATATGTGTCAGTATAAGTCTTGCATGCTGGAATCTCTGATGATTCTGCCCAAAAATTAACTTTTCAGGTAGAGGAAGCAGAAATGAATACTCTTGAAATGAAAAGACATTTTAGTACAAATAATATTGAAACCTTTATAAGTAAATTACATAATCATGACTGGCTTAATTTAAGTTACAAATGTGTAAATGATCAATGGAATACTTTCTTAAATCAGTTTCTGTATATATTCAATCAGTGCTTTCCTTTTAAAAAGTTAGATTCTATGCAACGTAAAAAAGGCCTTAATAAAAGAGATGATCCAGAGATAATAGAATGTAAGACTCATTTAGACATCTCGTTTACAATGAGCAGAGTTAACCATAAATTCTATGATTCCTATAGACAGGTAAAAAAAGAATATAATAAGAAACTAATAACAAAACGATCAAAGCTATATGAAAACAGGATATCTGAAGCTGCCAATAAAAATAAATGCATGTGGCAAATTGTTAGTGAAATTAATGGTCAATTAAAAAGTGTAAATTCAATAAAAGTAGAGGGTAGTCCTCAAGAGATTGCTGATAAATACATGATCCACTTAAATACTTCTTTAAATAACACTTTATCTCAATTACAATACACTGAATATTGTTACGATAATTATGGCGTTTATAACTATCAATATATTATGACTAATTCTGTTTTCTGTTCTAGTAAATTCGAAGTTGTTTACAGAAACCTCTAGACCCTAATTTTATGAATAATCCACGTCTCGAGGCTTTTCAAACAGTTGAAAAACGAGTCGAGCGCCTTCACCAAAATACGAGATCATTCCAGTATTTTCGACAAGGGTCAGGTCAGGTCTAGGCGGTCTTACGGTTCTTCATATAAGGACGAAATTTTATTGAAGGAGTCAGTCATAAGAAGATCGGGAAACGCGGTTTACTTGTAACGAAACGTTAATAAATTATTTGTAATATAAATTAGAATTAATAAAGACTTTAATAAATTCGTAATTAGTTATCGTGAGTTTTAATAAATTAGAATATAGACAATAAATTAGAATAAAGACAAATAAATTAGAACAATATAAATAAACTCAACAGTGGTGCAGAAGTGGGATCGTAGATAAATTTAATTTGATTTTTGAAAAAGACTTTTGAACTTTTGAAAGGTATTGTTCGTCGGGAACATCCGCGTAGTTCAGTAGTGATCGTTGTACGAAAGAACATTTAAAAAGTACGTGTGTGCCTGACCAAAGATGCTGCTAGTAGAACTTTCAGTGAAACAGTTGCGTGAGCAACTAGAAGAACGCGATGAAGACTGCAGCGGGTCCAAGAAGATCCTCCAAGAACGACTGAAGACTGTTCTCAACAAGAATGGAGACGACCCAGAGACATTCCAGTTCCAGTCAGCAGAAGAAGCCGTTTTAACTAAAATAATCGATGGAAAATTTGAGAATGTCTCACAAATGATCGAAGAGAGTTCTAGAAAAAATGATGAGAATATTTCCAAAACATTCAATGAAACGTCTCAAATTATTAAAGAAGTAGCTAGACAAAACGACGAGAAACTCGAAAATGTGTCAAAAAGATTCGACGAGAAATTTGAAAATGTTTCTCAAATGATGGAAGAAACTTCGAAAAAGAATAATGAGAAATTTGAAGAAGTTTCCAAAACATTTGAAAAAGTAGAAGAGAAAATCAAACAGTTAGAGACCATGATAACTAACACGAGAGTGCTACCACCAATTAATACGGTAGCTTTAGATCCGGTAGAGATAAAAGAAGACGAGACAAAATGTAAGTTGGAAACACGGCCGAAATTTGAAGGAAGTGGAAGTTCCGTTCATGTCAAAGTCCCAACTTTCGACGGAAAATCATCATGGAATAACTACATGAAACAGTTCGAATCAGCTGCAAGAGCGAATGGATGGTCTGAAAAAGAAAAGGCTGTAAACCTGACTATCGCTCTTCGAGGAGATGCCTTAGATGTGCTCCAGACCATAGCCGTAGAGGAGACGGATGATTTCGAACAACTGAAGAAGAGGTTAAATATGCGATATGGCCACGAACACTTGGAGCATG